GTCTTTCGTTGGGTGACGGTGACTTGGGTACAGTGATTCCAGGTGGATGACAACCCTCTCGCATGCCCCCGAGACACGACAAACAGCAACTCACTGACAGCGGGAGGACACAGACAGGCGCTGAGAGTAGCCACAGCCCAGAAGACAGGTGCTGACAGTCAGGATTTACTGGCAGCTTAGAGACGAAACCCAACTGCAAGCGTTTCTCCCCAGAAGTTCCACAACCTTAAAATCACACCCTGCCCAGAGCCAGCATTTAACCTTCCAGCCCATAAATACAGGGCAGGACCGGCTCCGTGTTCGCTACTCGGCTGCCCCTTCGATAAATGTCCCTGGAGGCGCTGGGCAGAGGGGACCCGGTATGACCCGGCTCGCCCACTAACTAGTTTCTGCTTTGTGGTAGGCATCAATTACCACTGACCCTCGGGGGTCGGCACAAAAAGCCATAATTATACTTGATATTTTTAATTTAAAAAGATGTCCTCATTACCCTTGGAAATTTATTAAGCTGTTAGCGGCCTGCAGCTCTCTAAGAAACACAGCTTCCTCTAACCCGTGTGGGCCGTGTATAAACAAACTAATATTTCTAGTGTGGACAGCAGCTTTAAATTAGTGGGATAAAGAATAAGAGGGGGGTTGCCCTACCTTCTTTTCTCTGGAATTGTGAGCTAAGTTTTAAATCAGAAAAGAAAGAAGAGAAAAACCACTCACAGCCATCGAATCGAAGCCAACTCATAGCAACCTTGAGGACAAGGGTAGGTCTCTCTGTGGGTTTCTGAGGCTGCAATTCTTTACAAGAGGAGAAAGACAGCCCTTCTCCCTCAGAGTGGCTGGTGGTTTAGAACTGCTGCCCTTATGGTTAAGAGCCCACTGTGTAACCACTGCGCCACCCAGGCTCCTAAACAGAAAAGGAGCCGCTGGTTTCGAACTGATAACCAAATTGCCATTCAATTTCCGGCAGAGCCCCACACTCACTGCCATTGAGTTGATTCAAACTCACAGTGGCCTTGCAGGACAGAGTAGAACTGCCCCTGGGCATTCCCAGGGCTGGCAATGTTTCTGGGAACAGATAGCCTCATCTTGATCTTGGGGAGTGGCTGGTGGATTTGAACCACCAACCTGTGATTTGGGATGCTCCATACCTGCACGCTCTCCCAGATTTCACAGCCTGCTCATTAGAGCTCAGTGCCGAGAAGTGGTGTTTCTGCCTCCCCCTCCCTGCTCTCACGGGAATACAAACCACCAGTGCTCGGGTGGCGGGGTTCACAGAGGTAGGCGGCCTCAAGACCCAGGGAGGTGAAACTCAAAACTCACTGCCACCCAGTCCAGCTGACTCACAGCAACCCCAGAGCACAGCGGGGAACTTCCCCTGTGGGTCTGTGAGCCCATCGGTCTTTACAGGAGAAGACAGCCTCTTCTGTTTTTCTTGGAGCGGCTGGTGGGTTCGAACTGCTGGCCTTGTGGTTAGCAGTTCAGTGTGGAGCCCACTTCACCACCGGGGTTGGGAGATGCAAATCGCTTTAAAGGAAGAGAACTCGAGCACTTCACAAGCAGAGTGGTCTTGAGGCCACCCCCCATTACCAACCTTTGTAGACACTGAACCCCCAGGCCCAGCTGCACCCACAAATGGTGGGCTTCTTCTTTCTGCCCAGAAGCCCACTGTCCAGGCCCATGGCTGTGCCCAGCACAGGACCCCACGCATAAAGTGCTTTCCCCCGACTGCACAGACTCAGGCCTGGGAGGAAATGAAGCCTGCTCCCCACCCCCATCACCACCTCCACCACCGCGCACTGCAGCTGGAGCCTGCTTTCTGTAAGGACCCGTCCCTCCATCTCTCTTGTCACTTAGCGCCACTGGCGAAGCAGAACAAAGGACTTTTGAAGGACGCATGCAGAACCGGAAACTCTCTCTTTAACAGAGAAGTTTGGGGTGTCGGGGAAATTAAACCCACACTTGGCTGAGCCTTGCAGCGATGAGGGACAAATGAGG